CAGCTGACTGTACTTACTCCGAAATAAAGAATGAACTACAGTATTTACTATAAAAGCATGATGTTTACACTGGTTTGGGTTTTTTTTTGCTGCAACTGAGAGCTCTGGCACTGATCTCTAGAGCGACCTCAGACATCTCCCTTCACTGAGAGCCATTTCTTACCCTCTCATGCAGGAGCTGCCCTGATCCAGGTTGCACTTTTTACATACCACTATAGTGTAAGTCAGTGACCGTTCAGTAATGTGGGAAGGCTCAAGCTGCAGAAACACAGTCCTCTTCCTTAATCTGTTCTGACTCATCACTTCTTCAAGGTAAGCAGTGGAAGGTGGAAACTCAAATTCAGTCCCAGCACAAGGACCTAAAGTACTTCATAAATCTGAGCGACACGTTTCACAGGGATATTAGTGAAAATGAAATGCATTATTGCAAGAACTTTCTGCCAGTGAATAAAAGCAAGTGCAGAGCCCGTATAGTTGGGGGCGGGGAAGGGGTGTGGGAAGGGAAGAGAGTTCAGAATAGCCTCAGAGAACAAATTTCACCCCAAGGAATAGGAAAGGATATAAACATCCACAAAGTCACCTCCTCTCCACCGTGATATCACAGTTTTTTAAAACGAATAATTAGGTTGATGAGCTAATTCCATTACCGCCTACCACAGTGATTAATATTGCCTGACTGTCCCTTTGCAGTACGCCCTACCATCTACATATTGCTTTTCATTTTGTTGATTGATGGCTCTTTGGGTCAGGGACTGTCTTTAGGGTTATGTTTGTGCCATGGGCATGTGGTTCAGGACAAGCCACTATGGGAATAGCTCATCCCACCTGACTCTCCGTGGGGTTCAGTGCACGGCACCAGCTTCCTGTGCTTCCTTCTCCTTCTGCAAAAGACCTTCTTGTGCACGAGAAGCTATGCAAGGACTAAGCATCACGCAGTAACAGTTACTCATGGCCACGTTCATTCCTTATGAGCCACTCAAGAAAAGGAAAGAGAGAGCGTGATGTGTCCCTACCAGGACAAAATAACTAGCCCTGATAAGACATTTGGGAACTCTCAGCAGTTTTTTATGAGTTCTATTGCTATATTTAAAATGAAAAAGAGTTCTGTCAATCATATTTATGCATCTCTTTTACAAGGAAGCAATCCAGACTTTTTGAGAGAAAAATACAGAAAAAAACTGACACAACTAGAGTTCTGATTTAAATAGGATGACTTACTCAGCAAATACTCTAAGAAAGAAAAAAGCACTTCTAAGTTACTATGATAATTTAAACTGCAATCAAGATATTAAAATACTGGTTTGAAAAGTGTCTTAGTGGTAACACATATGTAGGGAAATATATTGGAGGGAAATGAGGAGATGGAGCAGAGAGGAACACCTGAGGTCCTGCAAGCTGAGTTTGCTGTTCTCATTGAATCAGAAAGAAATGAGAAGGCCCAAGCACCTTCCTGCAGCAGCAGCTGCTGCCACCTTGATGTCCAGCATCAAGGACAACTGAAAAAGGCAACAGTATCGGGGCAGTTTTGCTGCCTACTTTGCCAAAGTCAGCTCTCCTGGAGCCCTTTTAACCCTCTGAAAGGTTTTGTTCATGTTCCCAGCTGCTGTAGACGTATATTTACTTTGTTTGAATGATGTGTCCTTCCTGCATGTTCCCACTTGGCCAGCTGACTGTGAAAAGATACTCAGCAACAAAGCTATTCACTGCAAGGAGATGCTCTGCATGAGAAATTCCAAAGCAGAGATAGGATCTGAAATTGTGCATCCATCTTGAAACAGAGACTTAACTGTCAGAGTGGAGTCAGGTTATCCGTATTACAGAAGACAGAAAAGCAGTCTAATGTATATACATTATTTATATTATGCATACATGCCTATGCACCTCCTTATAGCCACAAGCAATATTTAGGTTTTATGCCACTTCTGTTCCATGAATGGCTTATTAGGCTGGATTTTTAACCAAACATCATTTGCTTAAAAACACAAATGAAGAGCCAAACGGAAGTATTTACTCACATCCAAAAAAGTGATTTGGAGTTTTGTTCATGAAAACAAGCAGAGAGGGGAATCTGGGGGTCAAAAAGCTAAAAGTCCTAACATTAACAACTGCTCTGTGAGCTGCCAACCAAGAGTTGTTCACAGAGTAGCTCAGTATGTGGCTTCAAAGGAAAACAAACCAATCAACCCTGTTCATTGTAGGAAAAGCAGATCACTGGGAAAACTGGGATGTCCTCAAATGGAGATTTATTTAAGGTCAGGCTCATCATTCAGGTTTAGAGGACCTTGCTTTTGGCCAGGAGCACCACAGACCTCTTCATAGATTCATTCATAGATTTCTAGGTTGGAAAAGACCTTAGAGATCATCGAGTCCAACCATCCCTAATCCCCATTAAACCATATCCTCAAGTAGATCATCCACCCTATTCTTAAACACATCCAGGGATGGGGACTCAACCACCTCCCTGGGCAGCCTATTCCAGTGGCTGACAACCCTTTCAGAGAAGAAATACTTCCTAACATCCAACCTGAATCTCCCCTGACTAAGCTTATACCCATTTCCTCTTGTTCTATCACCCAACACTAATGTAAAGAGCCCTTCCCCCACCTCCCCACCATCTTTTCTCAAGTATTTGTAGACTGTAATCAGGTCTCCCCTCAGCCTCCTCTTCTCCAGGCTAAACAGCCCCAACTCCCTCAGCCACTCCTCATAAGTTTTATTTTCCAGCCCCTTGACCAGTTTAGTCGCCCTTCTTTGGACTCGCTCCAGGAGCTCAATATCTCTCTTAAAGCCAGGGGCCCAAAACTGGACACACCTCACATCTTGAGGTTCCTTCCATTCCTGACAGTCAGTCATATGTAGCTCACTTACCTCTTCTGTCTGGGCTGCCTCGCATTTTTATAGACATACATTATTCAGACTTTTGAAATGGAATTATCATGATTTATGAAGTGTTTATAGTCACATTTTATCCTGAATAAAATGACCTCAATGCCATCATGTGGAAACAATGAGGGAGGGAATTCATCCAGACAGTATTACAGAATTTTTACATATTTCCAAGTGAGTACCGTGAGGTTTTTCTGACAGCAGACAGGTGACAGACCAGTCAGTCTTTAACTATCAGGCAACAAGTCTTTCCTTCATGACGGCAATTTCACAAGAGATGAAGGGGAAGGTGCACATATGAAGGGGGAAAACAATGGATTTTCTTCTTGTTTACATCAATTCTCTTAATATGTTAAACACAGAAAAAAAAAACACCTCTCTTTTAATACAGTAAATAAACCAAACAACCACTAAATAAGTGCTTTGCATTCTGCAAGATCCCTCATAAGTGGGAGACATAACTGAATGTACCATTTCAAGCACACCATAGTTGAAGATTCCCAACCTTATTAGACTAGGTTTTTCCATTTTTGCATGAATGCCCATGTTCCTGTATATTCTTTTTTACCCTCCCCTAAGGTCCCTCTCACCCAACCATTTTACAGGATGATAATTACAGCCAAGTCATGGAATGAAAATAGAAGGCGGCTGGTAAGATGATCCCGGACGTCATCCGGATGCAAGTGAAGCAAGCGTATCTAATTCATTAAGTGAGCAAGAGGATTAGAGTGGTGCTGAGCATCTATTCTGTTTCATTTGACATTACATTAATTTACTCTCTCACTGGACAGGATGAGAGGTGCAACGTAATTATAACTCAGAATCTAAAACTTCTGGCATGTCTGAAGACTTATTAGTTCGGTGGCAGTTGGCTGGGGGAGAAACATGGCAGGAGAGATGAGCAAACCTTGTGCTCGCTGTGCCCATTACGCTTCAGTAGTAAGTTGCGTGTGGGACTGCTGAAGTTCACCTTGGAGATAAAGGACACTGCCTCTGTGTAGCAAATGACTTTCCAAAAGCCTTGAGAGCAGAATCTTCCAAGGATGTTTCACAAGGTGAATCTATTTCGCGTCAGACAGAACAAGTGCTTTAAAACCTGGATGGAAGATGTACAATCCTAATTTTCTTCTTAGAGTGAACAGCACTGCTGAAAATGCAAACCCTCATTCCCAGCGAGCCTCTTTTCTTGCATAGCTACTCAAACAGACGTAGTGATTCATGGATCAAATTTTACTGTGAACAAATGTTCAACTGCAGCAAATCCACAGACCCTGCAGTTCTGACATGCATTCAGCCTAAGAAGGCAGTACGCACGTCCCACCTGCACCTCTGAACTGCTGCTTTGGAACATGCAGGACACCACGATTTCACAGAAGCTCTTGGGAAAAAGAAATATCAGAAAATATCTGCCCCCTCACACCTCTAGGTATCAAAAGAAATGGCTAGATTTTTCAAGAGCTCTTGAAATACATTAGCAATTGGGGAATCTGAGATTTTGAAAAGTTGTCCCCAGTGCTTTACAACACCAAAATCAAACCCTTTAACACATCTCCCACTCAAGCTCATATCTCACCTTGAAGTCACATCAGATTTTATTTCTTTAGAAGTAGAGGTGTGAAAAGAGATGTAATAGGAAACCCTGCTAATATGTTTCTCACAGAAAAATGGACATCTTGATACCATATTGATTTAGTCTATTGGACACTGCTGGCTATCACAGATAGAGAGTATATATACACACAGAGATACACTTAGAGAGAGAAGCTGACTCATTAAAAATGACAGAAGTCACAGTACCTAGACATTTAGATAAACTTAGGATGTACAAACAGACAGATCTTTTAACTTCATTTCAATTTAATTAGTTTAGGGCTGGCAGACAGATGACACTATTAGAGACAGGCACTCTCAGTTAAAGCACACAGCAAACACAGTATCAGGAATTTGTTGTCACCGTCCTTTGAATCTAGTATCTATGAGACTCAGAGGCATGCTGCCTTTGGATTGTAGCCCCCAGCAAGGCAATGAAGAGAAGTGACTTTTACCTTCGGTCCTGCAATACATTTAAGGGCCTGGTGGAACTGAATAAAGACACTTGAAGAGGTAAAACCCACCTGGCAGATGAAACCAGTGGATGAACACTGCCGAACCCAGAGACTGAATTTCCTCTTTTTCCTCTTGCGCAGCTCCCTCTCTGTGCATGTGGCAATGAAAACAGGATCCTCGTCAATCAGGGGCTCATGTAGTACCTGCAAGTGGCAAGAAGAGAGGCAGGGGAAAGAAAAGGAAGAGTACACAACTGCTGAAAAAAAAGGTGCTTTAAATTCTTCCAAGGAAATAAAATCCTTGCATTGTGCTTGTGCACACCACCTCATACAAAGGAGCAAAACCGCTTTTGCTCAATGCTACCATCCAACAAAAAACAAAGCCTGACCAAGCACACTTCATTGTGTATGGCTGCTCTACACGTGGTTTCCAAACACTGCAAGGCATGGCTCTCACTTCCCACTATCAGCTACAGTTTAACACACCTCCAAAACGTGGCCTCTACCTCTCACTGTCTTAGTATACAGTATACAGGAGAGAGTTCAACTCTCTCCAAAATGAGGTGTGGGGGGGGAGGGATGGGGATTGTTAGCAGCATCCTTCTCCAAGCTATATCATCAGCTTCATCCTGTTTGGCAGAATGTCTTCCATTCAAACATTCCCTACAATATGGTCATAATACACACTCGTTGGTTACAGTGAAGGAAGACATGCAGCAAAGAGAAAGAGAAGTTAAGGGAGAAAAAGATATTTTCTGCTGTAACTTAAGGAGATGGTAGAGAGACAGAAAACATTTTTCCTGGTGGCAGCAGCTTCAGGGAGCTTGCTCTTGCCTCAGGAGCTGGAAAATTTGACAAAAGGAGACAGAAAGATAAAGAATCAGAAGCAGGCATACAAAAAGACAAGGCAGACTGGAGCAAGTAACGAAAATCTGTGAAAGTGAGCAGTTTCTGCATTCTGTATCCAGATGATGTAAAGTGGTTCCCTGTTCCTTACAGCTGTTTTGTTACAATTCTCTCTATTAATTCTGTAGCAAAATGATTAGGTTTTACACTATAGAACCCACCAATAGAAAAGCACTGCCACCTCCTTGCAGCTCACAGGTAGCTGTGCATAACATACACATCCCTGACTGCATGGTGTGTAAGTTGCCTAGCAAGTCACTTGTGAGAGTGCAAATGCGTGGAAACTGTTGAAAGGTCTCAGCTGATGAATGCTGACCAAATTCAGACATCCATATTGCTAAATCAGAGCAAGACCCTGCAGGCTCCCTTCCTAGTATACGAGGGGAAAGCAGTTCCAGCAGGTCATAATTCGAACCCTTTTAAAGACGTGTAAAATAAGTCAGATGGGTTACTATCTAAAGAAGCCGGTTCTTTTCCAGTGACCATGACCCCAGGAGACAGGCTCAGATACAGGTAACCACAATGCAGAGCCTCCCACCGTCAGACCGACTCTTTCCACATCTGCATGTGTGCTACTTTTGTGCACATCTGCAGGCAGACAGTGCTGAGAATGAGAACAAAGTTGCATTAAACCTGGGAGTGATGCTCATAGGACAGCTGTGGTGGGTAAGCAGTTAAGCATCAGTGATGAGCAGCTGCTGGCCTCCTGACTACAAGACGTTTGTTGAACATCACTCTGTCAGCCCAAAATAGGCACCCGCGCCCTCCCCACGCAGCGGCGGCTGCACACTTTCATTTATACACAGTCCACTTCTTAACAGCTCATGAAACATTCACAGGACCATCTGAAAGCACTCTTGTGAAATGTTCAAATTATACACCAAAATGCAGATGCAAGCAAGGAGAGCTGCACACAAAGATATTTTTTCTTAAAGCTGCAGCTGTCCCATTTCCCTACTGGAGCCAAATCCTCTTCCTCTCTTAAGGTTCACTCGAAACACTGCTCTTCCTTTCCAAAGGCCACCTTGGGCATTTCACACACCCCTCAGGGAATTCTGACAGTGTTTTGCAAATATTAAACATGCCCTCATTCACTTCTGCCTTTCTGCCTCTTCGTGCAGAGAGGAGGACCACATCTCTTGGGATGGGGCTGGATACACTGCTAAGAATTCCTCAGCTCTGGAAAGGCTCTCTTACCTGCCAGATTCTGCAGAGTGGTGTGGTTCAACCGTTATAATCTCTCCTGCTGTAGGACGGAGAGCAGCAGAAAGAAAAGGCTGTATAAACATCACTTGAGGAAATTTTTTTACTCTCTGTCACCAGCCCAGCTCCCTCCTCTGCACCACAGCACCAGTTCTCCTCACGGCAGCTCTACTGCATCCTGCAAACTCTTCGCACTCTTTTCTGCCTTCTCAGACACAGTGAGGCCTTGTCAGCCTTAAATTTAGAAAGCAAATCTGAATTTTGAAAACCTCTCCCCATTCTCCTCTTCTCCCTGCCTACACTCAGCCCTGCCTTCCCCTAGCACCCAGAGCTTCCTCTCCTTTCCCCTATCCAAATGTTTAAGTCACTCTCATTTCTCTGTAAGACAACCAATGCTCCACTGAGTGCCTACCGAACTGCTGGCAAGAGAGGACAAAAATGGAAACAATGTAGGGCAAGATTTGCTGTTGCTGCAAAGAGGGAATGTGGACAGGCAGAAAAACTGAAATAAAATCCCTGGAGCTTGCTCTTCTAGCTTCCTCCTGAGAAAGTGGGGAGACAAGTGCTGCCACCCCTCCACGTGCAACCACCCCTTCGACAGCTGTAAAGGACTTTGCAAGCAAGACACTGTATGGGCTGTTCCTGCTGCTGGGACAGCTGATCCCCCTCTCATTTTCAAAGGGGGCAATCTGTTGCTTCTGGCACTGACATAGTTTCCCTACGATAGCCCTGTTGCCACTGGCCAGTGTTATTGGTTTGTTCACTCTCCTCGATTCTCAGTCTCCTTGAACCTCCTGTAATCTCAAACTCATCTCTTCACCAAATCCCCATGCAAAGTGGTATTTGCTCCCTCCCCGCTCTTGCTATCACTGCAATACTTGCTTTTTCAAGACTGAGCTTACTGTCCCCATGACATACTCTTTCCTGCTTCTCATCTTCCTAGATAAAAATCTACTTTCAGGCTTAATTGACTGCTACATGTATTCCTGGCTGCCTCTCCACCATCTTTGACTCAGTCCCCAAGCCCTCCCCTCTTCCTATTTTGACTTCCTTTGATGCAAGATATCTTGTGGATTTCTTCACAGAAACTAACCCCATTTGCTTCTCTCAAATCTCCAGTTTTTTTCAGGTCTAAGAAGCTCTTCATCTAGTTGCTTTGCTTCCCCACAGCTATCCCATTGTTGGTTTTTTTCCCTCTCATTTATAGCCATCCTCATCTCTGCTAGATCTTCTTGCTAAACTTTCACACTTTTTTTTCCCTCAATATGTACATGCACTCCAAACGTTGGGAGTCCCATCTTGGAGTCTTGCCCCTCCAGCATTTGCTTCCTCACACATCTTTCATTCACTGAACAAAGAAGCTAGCCACTGCCCAGAGCACCTTCCTTTCTTCTCCATTTTAGATAATCTCCAAAGATCTTTCCATTCCACAGTTCCACCCATTCTGCTCTCACCACAGCACAAATAGGCTTGCAGACAAAGCCCAGAGCCACTAACTCTTTTGTACTTGGACTTCCTAGATTCATTGCTTTAGATACTGAACCAACATATCCGTGCGATAACTCAGCTTCTCTTAACTACATGGCCATCTCCAACACAGCCTGTCTCTTGGAGAAACTGCCTCAGCTTGCCTTGTCTCTGGCTTTTGGTAGGCACCATCCAGTTGCAAACAGAGTCTTCTGGGTAACTGCACCTGTATGCACAGATTCGGCGATTGCTTCTGCAATAGTAGCTAGTGCTTCTGCTTCCTTGCTCAAAAGCTCCTCCTGTCTAAATTAAACTCTCCGCTAGCATCTGACATCTCTGCTCGCGTACCCAGCTGTCAGTTCTGGTTTTACTACGCTACATTTGAGAGCATCTCTCTTCCCTTAAGATAACCCCTTACTATCTCCTTTTTTGGTCACTACAAACATCTCTCTCCTCCTGCTGCAGATCTCACTGGTCAGTGAATCTGAGCATCAGTCTTCACCTCCAACTCCTTACAAGGTCTTCTGAGCCAGGTAGTGCCTGCATTTTCCATGCTTTCTGAGTAACAGCTCTAAAATATTACTTGTTTTACAGTAACAATCCACCCATACAGTCAAGTTTTCATCCAAGCCCACAGCCATCCTTGCAACAGTATTCCTTTTGGCCTCAACATAAAGCAATCTTGCCCTATGGATTGCTGTGGGAAAGTCATTCTCCTAGTCCATCACACTGGCCGCATCACTTTTCTTGACTTCTCTCTGACATAACTTCTCCAATATATCAGACATTCTTTCTCTTCACTTTCAAAGTCCTGTTTGGCCTATCCACATTTTACTGATCCTCTTTGCCATCATTCAAAGGTTAACTTCCATCTCTGATGGAGCCATGATGTCACACTCCTCTGCCCATTTGTTCAGTCTTCAATCAACTCTTTAAAGAAAAAAAAACAAATCAGTTCTTACAGCACTCCATTATCATCAGGTAATTTTAAAATAGCCATAAAGGTTCATCATTTGCTGCTGTCAAACTCTCCCTAAAATCTGGCTTCACCAGAGGATTAACTGATTAGCCGCCAAGAGCTATAGGGCATCAGAAATTTACCTTGTTATTCAATCTTCTTATTGCTCCTCTGTCTGTCTTTCTTCTGCTCCATGTCTTACACTTGGCCAACATCCTCTGAATACTTACATCTTTGTGTTACACTCACAGAAGCCCTAAGACAGAACAGTCCTGGTTTGAGACCAGCACCTTTACTCACAAAGGACCATTTTGAAAACAGGAAAACTGAGATATAAAAGTGTGTCTTGAGCAAGATCTTTTAATTTGGAAATGCCCAATACCAAATCAACATTTAATAATGAGGACACGAGCTACGAGTTTATCAGCCTGGTTTTACCCCTCTGTGTTTTCAGAGAAGCTATCTTCTAATGCTGTGCGCTGGTTTGGAAGAACTGTTGAAACTGCTTAGCTGTATCCCATGATACCACCAAGAGCGTAACAAACCAACCTCCTAGTAACCAGCCAAATCTCATCACCATGCCCTTGAAGTAAGAGGTTGCAGTTATGTCTTTCTTTGCCAGGGAGTTCACTCCTGTCTGAGATAAGGACTTTAGCTGATTTTTCGCAGCTGACCTTTCACTGAGCAGATGCAGAACTGTTTGGTTCCAAGGTGCCAAAGAGAAGGTACTTTGGAGGGAGAGGGAAGAGTAGAGTGCCTGGAGTTGTGGGACAGCCAGAGACAGCAATCCTGTCTAGTCACATCCCGCTGACAAGCACATAAATACTCAGCAGGCACAGAAGGACGTTTGAGCAGTGATGTTATTTTCCTGAGCTCCTCTGGTTTCTGGAATTCAGTGTATATCCTTGGCAGGTGGGTACCCTTGAATTTGTTGCAGTATACCTCCTGAGATCAGGCAGGGCATCCTCCCTGTCTTCAGGCTTCCACTTGTAGACAGTAGCATAGCTACAAAGCTAAGCAGCAAAGAGCTGACACTGACTCCAGGAATAGACCCAAAACTCCACCTCTTGTTGCTCAGGTAGAGGCAGTAGTTTATTTATAAAGAAGATATTGGAGGATGCAGAGAATATTCCTGTCATTCCTATCAAATCTAGGTCAGAGCACCATTTTTTTTTTTTTACTTAGGCAATTGACGTTAGTGCTGCTGATACGCAATTATAATGTTCTGGGCTTTCAATATGTTCATAAGCTGGAGAGTAATTATTTCCTTTTGTTTGCTCAGTATATTTAGCAAAATAATTATAATTCACGAGATTGTTTTCTTTGTTTTGGTATATTGGCATAGTTCTCTCTCTGCTTCCGTTTCCTTTCATAGAAACTGTGGTGTCATTTTTGCATTCACATTTTTTTGGGGGGGTTACAGATGAAAAAAAAACCCTAAATGCTCTCTGATAGAAATTCTACTTGAAGAATCTTTTCTAGCTCTCCAAAAAGAAAAGATCAAATCTATAGAAGAAATAACTGTGAAGGTAGATGTTGCACTGACTGTTGGATGCAGACTGTCTGCTTTGTCCACAGAGGTGTATCGTAGTCTAACCCCAGTCAGCAACTAAGCCCCACGCAGGCTCTCGCTCACTCCCCCCTGGTAGGATGGGGGAGAGAACTGGAAGGGTAAAAGTGAGAAAACTCATGGGTTGAGATAAAGACAGTTTAATCGGTAAAGCAAAAGCCACGCATGCAAGCAAAGCAAAACAAGGAATTCCTTCACTTCTTCCCATCGGCAGGCAGGTGTGTTCAGCCATCCCCAGGAAAGCAGGGCTCCATCACAGATAACGGTGACTTGGGAAGATAAACGCCATCACTCCAAACATCCTCCCCTTCCTTCTTCTTCCCTCAGTGTTATATGCTGAGCATGACGTTATACGGTATGGGATATCCCTTTGGTCAGTTGGGGTCACCTGTCCCAGCTGTGTCCCCTCCCAACTTGTTGTGCACCCTTAGCCTACTCACTGGTGGGGTGGGGTGAGAAGAAAAAGCCTTGACTCTGGACAAGCAGTACTCAGCAATAACAAAAACATCTCAATATTATCAACACTGTTGCCAGCACAAATCCAAGTCTACCTACAATCCCAAACAGCCTTGCTGCAGTCAACAGCAAGGATCTCAAGTCATTCCTCTGCTTGATGCCACTTACAAGACATTAGCCTGAAGCTTGAGCATAGATCGTGGCTCGGGCACAAGCCACCCGGATACGACAAGTCTCATGTTTAAGATACAGGTGTACCTTAAGCAACAAATCCATTTTGACCTTGGGATTCCAGGTGTCACTGATTACAGAAACCTGGGCCCCTCTTCCCAAAACGCTTTCAGAGGCAGCACATCCAACAGCCCATCTGAATGGGTCTTTGCCCTTGTCTTTTCCCTTTGTTTCTGTGCAAGTGGGTTATTATTTTAAATTATTATTTCTCACTGGGCCTGACATTTTAGGTTTGATGTTTACTGCAGTCTGCTAATCTGCACTCAAGACAATTTTCAGGGAGAGGTCTTTTCTGCTGTTTTGAACAGATGGGGTCCATGTCTCTTGAGTCAGGTAGTGCGCAGCTCTGCCTGATGGCACCCAAGAGGATGTCAGGCATAAGGCTCCTTTCAGGAGGGGGCCTGGAACATCCCCCAAAAGGCTACTGGTGCTACACTAGAGTATTTTTAACAACAGATTCAAAACCTTTTTCTTTCTCACACAGTTATTTTTGAAGCTGTATTTCAGTGCTTTTTGTTCTGCTCAATACCACTGAGATATGCTGTATAGAAATCACTGACATAAATACTGACAAGGGAGCAGAGAAGTGGAGGGGGATGGAAGAGAACTGGGCTGTCACTAATTCTTCCTCCTTTTTTTTTCCCCCCTCAAAAGTAGCATCTCCTTAACAAGCTCAGCACAAGCATACATTTTGCTTGTGGAGATTTAGATGTTTTGCCACTGCAAATAGGATGCTATGATTTTGTCAGTTCAGTTCTCAAACCTTGCTTGGGACGGGAGAAGGGAGAAGGAATATACATGCAAATCAAATTCTATCCTTTAATGGATTTGCACTCACAGCATGTCCCACAGCACACCATTATAAGCATTTACATTAGACACGGTGATCACATTTCTGAAACCTTTATCTTCTGTCCATTGAAGTCAGTGGCCATAAGGCTTAGATTTCATATCTTAATGAGAACTTGGTTCCAACAATACTGTGTCTCTCACTGCCTGTTTTGTCTTGATGGAAATGCACCTTGCTGGCACGGCTTAGCAAGAACACTCCTCCTTTCTCTACTGTAACAGCGTTTTAGACAGCTATGTTGTCCAGAATTATACAGGTATCATTTTTATTGTCTATAAAATAGAAAAAAACTGTAATCACTCCCAATTTATTTTACGCACACTTCATTGAATGCGATGCATCTATGTCTTCATTAATTTTGTGCAGTGGGCAAAAATGTGATGCTTCAGAGAAGAAACAGGAAGAAAAAGAGAATGATGGACATAATACCCTTTCCAAATGTCTAGGTGAACTCTTTATATTCTGAAAGCAGAGAATTGATTGAAAAGTTATTTCAAACAGTAACATATTTCCTGCTTATTCCTTTTTCTTTCCAGACTTCCGAACCAGTAGCAACAGCTCCAAAAGGAGATCATTTATACTGGAACAGAGTTTAAATAATGTATGATTAATATTAAGAAAAGATTTCTTTGCACTTTAAAAAAAAATCTTTTTTCAACTGTACAGGTGTAGTCAGACAGCCACCAGCTATGTAAGTTTCTGTATTTAGTTCCTTACATTGTCTGCCCAGGTTACCGAGCACTCTCCACACAGAATGGCATTCTGCTGTATCCCTAATTGTATCTGGAAATGAAAATTCATTGGAGCCCTGTTTACTTTTATTCCTGGTAGTCTAGAAATATTTCCAGTTCACTGGCACTTTGGTTGCAAATCCACACATCAGTAAGTTTTTCCATAGGAGCAGCACCCATCGTTAAAAATCAGGACTAGCACAAGGCACAGGCAGTGCTGCTGAGGCCAGCTGACAACTGCAGCAAGCAAAGGCACCTGCCCCCTTGCTTATTTTCCCTTTGCCCAGCGCAAGGAGGTAGCTGTGCTGCTGGACCACGTGGCAAGCACCTACTGCTAAGGTCAGGAACAGTCACCCTTAGCAAACTCAGCTCCTGCAGCCAACCCTCAGCCTGTAGCAGGAGCAGCTATAGGTTTTCTCTCTAGCCCAGCTGCACCAGCTCTGCCCTTTCCACTCTCCCTCACAGGCACAGCCTGCAACCTCCCATCCTCAGGAGAGCAAAACCTAGTGGTGTCAACCTCAGTGAGAAGTCTCCAGGCTTGTTTAGACCACTACAGCAAACAGCCCTAGCTCAGAGAGCATCACTACTACTGAAACATGCCAGGAACCTGCACTGCAGAGCCCTAAGTCAGACATTGCTGAGCACTTCCATAGGACAGTGCTGTTTTCTCTCATGCTTCATGGAGGCACCGCTCTTTCTTCAGGCAGCTGTGCTCTGCGCTTTCAGTCATAGCAAGACAACCTAGAGCACACAGGTTCGATGTTCCCTGCCAATGGTTTAACTCTTACCTGGGCTTGCGAAGGTCTAAAAGCAGAGTCAAAGCCATTCTGCAGAGAGTCCAGAAAAGGCTGGATTTTGTAGAGGCCATGCGTTGTCTGGCTCGAGCGGAAGGCCACAATGTGGAAGTACTTCAGGATCTTCTCAAACCGTGATTGTGTCATGATAAGTGCAATGCTTTTGTTGCTGTAGAAGCCGCTGCTCCAGATGCTGAGAACAGACTCACAGTGGTGGATGCTGGTTGATATCATGTAGCCTAAGAAGGCCTTCATTTCCGTCAAGGTGACGTCAATCCAGGCATCGTCACTACCGAACCTCTCCTGGTACTTCTTGGCATACATGTTGGTTTGGACCACCATATTCTTTAGTACATTGTCAGGGACAAAGAGCTGAAAAAAGTCCATGGCACTGGCAGTCAGGGGCATTTTTCGTGTTGGACCTAGGATAAAAGCAAGATGGCAAGATAAGCTCACTCCTGATCATCACAAGGCATGTCCAACACAAGCAATTTAAAGCAGGAATAACTTTCCTAAAGTAGGAAAACAAGGCCAAAGTGATGGCATGTCAGTTAATTCCTTTGAAAGTGTACCCACTGTCTGACAGATCTCATCAGGAAACTTCTCCCCTATATTCTCTGTCTTCCTCCTAGCAGAAACACACAACACACTCTGAATAGCTTCTTCCTCTGCTCTGCACAGTCAGTAGTTCATATCCTGCAGGCCTGTGAGGCAGCATGCATTTCATTTTTCCACTTAGACACCATCTGTACCTTTTACCCTCAGCAGCTGCTTTGGCCTTTTTCTGGACAGCCTTTTATTTGTCCATACACATGTCAAAGCAGTGCCTTCCTCAAAACAGCCCAGAAGGAAGGTGTCCCAGCCCTCCAGCCCAGCTGACATGATTCCTGGGCACTAGAACCTGATCCCACCTTTTCTTTTGCACCTCCAATTCATGCCCAGTTCATTTTCATTAATCCTGTGACTTTCAAATCTTCTTCCGCCCCACACACAGAGCCATGCAGATCATGCCCATGTGCTTTTGAGTTCCGTGTTTTGTCACCACATTGGAGCCTTATCCTGCACCCTGACATCCCCAAGAAAGCACGTTACCAGAACAAGTCAAAGACATCATGTGGCTAGTGCCCCTGCCCCACATCACAGGGAATATTTTTAGCATCACAATGCATATGCTGGTCCTCTTCCATAATGTAACAAGCCTTGTAGTCCCATGCTGTCATTACTCTAGCTTTTCGCTGATCTTGTGCCTTCTCTGCCAGTTTCAACTATTCCATACAAAGAGGGGAAAAAAAATAATAAAGGGAGGCTCTAAGGGTTGGCAGCACTCTATCAGTGTAACAAGGTTATCCAGTCAGACACCAGATTACATTAAACCAAATTAGGAACATCGAGCCTGCAATACCAGGCACACAGACACCAGTTCCACAGCCCACTCTCTTTTAATCCCTTCTATAAGCTAATTAAGCTCCATTTTAAAAGTAGCATTTTTCATGCTCCCACCCCATGGCAATGCTTTAGTCTCCAGGTAAGGGCTATGGAGACAGGGACATTCTCTATTCTCCTACAGCAGCAGTGAAAATCAGTACACCTGAGAAGGGCAGCATGGACAAACCCAATGAACAGGGCAGTGCTTAAGAGTAGTTCTACATCCCTGTGCAAAAGATAGCAACATGATTGTAACCCCAAACTAAGAGCGGGATCCAGTAGATACTGTGCCTTAGTTTAACAGCCATCAGCCTTGGGACTGTCTGAAAAACACTCTTCCTGATCAAAAGCAGGAGGCACACAGCTGCTTATTTGAAGTTCTGCCTAACAAGAGTGAGTCTTCCTCACACTACGTGGCTGCCTGGATCCCAGTGTCGGCTCTCCCAGCTGAACCAGAGTACGAGATTTGCCATTCTACAGTCTGGCTCTGCAAATACCCACTACCGTGTCGGTCAGGTCGCATTTTCCAGTATCCCTGTATCTCAGCTCACATCCTTAGTTACAACAACAACTATAGCTTGCAGCAATTCTGCATGAAACAGTACTGTGAAGAACTACGCAAATACTGTGATTACACTTGTTCTTAAGCCCTAATGTTTGGGTGCACTCTGGTGAACTCAAGCTATTAGAAGGACAGCAAAAATAGCACTAAAATATTGAATACGGTGAACCTTCAGATTGCAAAGAATGCCAAAAAAGCAAACAAAAGTGGATTTTTTTTTCCCAAGTGCAATGGGGAAAGAAACATATATTTAAAGGTTACTTTCCAATTTTAATTTGTGAGATGATTGATAAACTGGAAGTAAAACAGTTCAGTTGAAAGCACATTCCGCCATATAGCAAGACTAGAGTACAGAGCCCCATGCAAACCATGTTCTGGTAAGGACAGAGTAGAAAATTTCAGCTTAAATGATAACAGGTTTTCATTATCAAGTGAAAAGTATGCAGCTAGAATAGATATACTTACTTAACCTTAACTGCTATTGCAATAATAAGGCCTCTTAACAAGGAGTTCTCTTCTTTTGATCAGGAGATTTATATTCCGCTAGCACCCGCTAGACTGTTATAGCTGACATAAAATGCTCTACAAATGATTCTGTATGAATGACTTATAGTAGATCACTTCCTTCTTCCCCACAACTTAATCGAGTTTTGACATTCTACAGTAGATATGGCTTTCTGGTAACACCACATTGCACAGAGCATATTCTTAATTATACACAAAGTCTTGAGCAGCTACTGACTTCAACTCCAGTGACCAAGCAACCTTCTAGGCAGAGAACATGTAGTTTTTAAAATTCTTGCCTTTAGAAACAGAAGCTGGGAGGAGGAGTAACATTTTAAATCTTGCCTACAGCAAACAAGATGCATTCATAAAGCATTAAGTCTCACGAAGTGGAATATGTTGGTCTTGAGACAGGTGGATACGGACAATAGGTATGTGCTGGACTCCATCTTCAGGAAGGCAAGAGCAGTCAGAAGCACAAAAAGGTACTTTTGATATAATTAAATTTTCAGTAGCTGCACAACTTTACCTTGAAAAGTGATTCCAGAAAACTGCCAGGGATACTGGATAAGGACAATCCTTTCTTACCCAGCAGCCCTGCTCCAGCCACACAGAATCTCCTATCTGCTCTCTTTCTTGAAATAAATATGCAAGATTTGTATCCCATTAGCCATGCAGAACCCACACAGCTCTAAAAAAGTGAGCTGAATCACTTTCTGACTCAAACATCAACCTAATTGTTGACTAAATATAATTCTGAAAGCCTCTGTATAATCTCATTGTCTTAAAAAACAGCCTTTATTGGCAAAGTGAGCACAACTGATTCATAATTTACTGATATGCAATAAACCAAGAGTGACATTGAATTTCTGTGGGAAGAGAACTGAATTTTTAACACGAATTGGGTTTTGCATAGTTAATGACTAGCCTAAAATAAATTATTTAAATATGACTTTCTATCTAAGTACACAAATAAACCCCATATACATAGCCAACTGCATAAGAAACCTAAACAGTGAATTTGCACTTTTTAAGGATTTTTACATCAACTTAAATGGCACTTACCCAGAAAATACTACTATGAAGAGTTCAGTGTTCCATACATGCACCATTTACCTTTCAAAGCTTTATTCAGTCAAATAAAACAGTGGCTTTGCCTAGTCTTTCATCCTCAGAACTAATTTTTCTTTTTCGCTTTAAAAACTAATTAGGATTTCCAATATAAGTTATAGAGTCAGAGCACAAAAGTGCTCTTGGAATTTCGAAATGTCCAGCTAGACCCAGTGGTCTGTGCACATCCAGGGTGAGGACGGAGCTTTACTGAGTAACCTCTCGCTGAGCAGCACACACGCCTGCACTAGCACTTCGGGCTTGCTTTAAGTGACTTTGCAGAATATGGAGAATAACATAGACTTCCTCTGTTATGAAGCAATGTGCACACACAAACTCTCCTTCTTCCTTCTCACCCTGTCTACCAGCAAAAACTTTCATGTGTAAGCAGCAGCAATCACCCTGCAAGTTATTACCGTTACTAGATCCTATTTTGACCAGGTTGGTCCCATTTTTTGTTTGGTACTGAAGAGTAATGTCTCCCCCAGCACCACAGCTATTTAAATTGCTAGAAGAGACTCAAAATAAATGAAGATGCTAAGCAGGGAAAGCCATTTGTGTTTCCGTAGTGGAGCTACGAATGCGGAGCAGAGGCTGGCACCTCGCCCTCAGACTGCGCACATTGCAGAGCCCGTTTTGGCTCAACTCAGCTGAGGGCAAACTGCAGCAGCTGCGCTGGGTCCGACGCCCGGCAAGAGCAGGCTGCATGCTCAACTTCTCAGCAAACATACACGCTGCAGAAAAAAACAAAGATTTACATGAAACTTCTGTGTGACCATCCTTCCGGCAGCCCCTGCCATCTTCCTACAACCTCTTGTCTTCTCTCTTGGTTGGGTCCCCCCCACCAGTCACATTCTTCTTCCTGCTCCAATCCTACCAGTGTTTCTAGCCTTCCTTATCGAGCAGGACTTCAAGAAAAACAAGAACTCCAGGTGAATTAACTGCTTTTTCTTTATTTAACTGGTCTGCAGGACTAATTCAAGTGCACATTGGAAAAGGGTAAAATAACCGATGACCATTTTTCCTGTTCTGATTACTGATCTGTTATTTAGTAGGTCAGAGATCACAGACTGAGAACAAAAGATGGAAAGTTTCGAAACTTACTGTAATCTATGAGTGCTTACCACATAACGTACAAATCTTAAGGAGGTCAAAAGCATTGTCATTTTGGGCAGGACAAATCAGATGCGCAAGAAAATGCAGTGGAAGAAAATTCTCCTTTTGCTTTGCTGTGCAAAAGACTTAGTGCTCTCATTCAAAGCGTATCCAAGGTTCATGATAAAATATCCTGTTACCTTGATAGGCCCAGGTAGTAACATATGTATGCCAAGCCAAATTGTGTGGTTTGGAAACAAACCTTGTCCAGAGCTAATCCAGGGTTGACTTCGAAATTAATTCAACTTCCTTAGCAACTGGACAGACCCCAGTATTCCTGAATCAGGCACAGGAGTGGTAGAAGCATCAGCTTAAGAATGTAGAAGTCATTTTATTGTCCTCTCCGAGCAAAAATCTAACAATTTATAGTCACGCATGAGCATAGCGCATTTAGGTGTATTATATACAGATACATATCTAAAAAAAAAAGCTATCCAGGCCCTGTTATTTTCTAGCAATTGGGAAGCATTTTCTCCTCTGGCATATGGCACAGCTTTCAGTGACCAGCGTTTGAAAAGCCAATTAATTTCTTCTTCCTAAGTCCAAGTAATTAGAGACTCTTTTATATTCCTGAGAGGTTACCTTTCCAAAAGTACAGAGAACATCCGAAAAATGCTGATGGAAGATTTCTGTCAGAAAATATATTCATCAAAAAAATCA